TGACTTTCTGACATTTACAGATGAAAAAATATACCTGTGACATGTCAGTTATGCACTGAGGAAAACACAACGCCTCAAAGTGCTGCTTAAGAATAAGCGTGCACAAATTAGTGGAACTTAATTTGTCATTTATGGAACCGCTTTAGCGTGTACTCACACTAGGCGTTTTGAACCGTGCCCGAGTGCGTTTGCCCCCCCAAAGCCCGGTTCGTTTGACTAGTGTGAGCGTTCCATGCCGCGCTCGAGCACGGTTCGTTTAGCTGTCCCTGGCTCGGTTGGAAGAGGTGGGCCAGGGCACGGTTCGGTTGGGCTCTGGCGCGGTACACATGCAGTGTGAGCGCTAACCATGCCGGAGCATGGAACAGATACTATTTTGTGTGCGCTACTGTCATCATTACGACCGGAAACATATTCTATTACTACTACTACACTACACTTTTCAATTAATGTAATTCAATCAAGTATATTTAGGTTTATAATGGCTCTGGTTCTTAACTTATTGATGAACAGGAAGTGTAGTTTGCAAGTAAAGCTGCAAATTATTTTTGCAGCTTTCTCAGCTGCCTCCGTAATAATTTTCTGATACATACAAGTGAAAATCAATGCACGGCATAAATTATAAATTAATTAGAATTAATTATTCGAGTGAGTACACCCTTAGCCCCGATGGATTTGTTAGGCAAGGCAAGGCAAGGCAAGTTTATTTATATAGCACATTTCATACACAATGGTAATTCAAAGCAAGTTTATCAAGTTTATTTGTATAGCACATTTCATACACAATGGTAATTCAAAGTGCTTTACATAAAAGAAAAAAAAGAAAAATAATACTCACAACAATAAAACAAGGATAGTGTTTGTGCCAAAAATATGTTGTTTGAGCACTGTGCTGATCTGCTGAAGCAAAAATCTTAGAAAAATCAAAGAAAAGTACAGAAATAGGGAGCAAAGCGCAGAGCAGTAAGCAAGAACGTCCGAACGGTAGCGAAGCCGGAAGTAGAGCCGTAGAACATATGCAAATATGTTAGGTTATTTCAAGTTTGGTTTTGGACTTTAATCACCGCTTTTCCTCAGGTCTCCGTAGTGTTGTGCTGCGTCACAATCACGCAGCAGCAGTGATAAAAGAACGTGCTTGAAAAACAGTTTTGAGAGAAGAAATCAATCTACATATAAAATATTGGTCACAGATTATTGGTCACTTTCTAAACAATAAAAGTTAGCGCATCCACTAGCAATTATATATAAATAAATCGTTTTTTACCGATGCAAATATGTTAGAAACGATGCATCGCGATATAAATGCCAACTTGTAGCCGATGCACACTTTTTAAACCGATGCATCACATCGTTCATCATTCGCACATCGAATCTTCCCATCCCTAATAAATATATATATATATATTTCTGTCCCCCTCACTTCTGAAATGATGGCTACACCCCTGTGTTGTTTTATTGATGTTTTGTCTTTTAAATGGAATTTGGCGCTTTTTTGAGGATCTACCGTTGCTCGCAGTGATGACGTCACCACTCGCGCGTGCTCAGCGCTGGTAATTCACGCTAAACAGTTTATTTAAGGGCAATTTCTGCCTTGTTTTCGTCAGGTTCAGCGCTATTTGTGCCTCTGCAGATTAAAACACTTACAGCAGACAATGAGCATGTAAGGAAAGTCAGTTTAGATCTGAGCGAATTTGTGTTTTTGAATGTAGACTTTGGTTGTTTGATTGTTTTGCTGTTTGTAGAACATTTTAAACCGTACATAAATACCTCAGTGAATATAGATACATATGAATGAACACTGAACATATAAATACTGCTTTGTGGTGCTAAAGCTTTAATGATTTATCAGTTTCTGGACATACCAAAAAGATGTGTTAATGTTCTTAATTGCTATGAATGCAGTTATCAGGAATTTTAACAATGTTTAGATTTATATGCAAAAATTATAATGGTTGTGTCTGTCTTTATATTGCCTGCCATTTTTCTATATCATGTTATGCAAGTAATCATATAGCCTAATGTTTTATAGAGCAGTTGTTTAGTCTTTCAGAAAATATCCTTGCACAAATAATCAGTTTCTACCCACAAACACTTTTTTTAAAAAGTGAGATCTGCTGATAAACTTGAATGGCATGTTTGTTGAGTGTTTATAGTCTGAGGCTCATCAATATTATCAGCTGTTGAAAATCCTCTTTATTTCATGTCAATAGATCCTGTTTTCACCTCATTCATTATGCTGATGACTTCAGATCTGTTAATTGCAGCATTAAGCTCGTTTTATTAGTGTTAACAGAATGAAGCAAACAACACGATCAGCTATTGTGACATTACAAGATAGAGGTAAGTATCTAATTTGTAAAATTATATTTCTATGTTTATTCTTTCATTTTTTAATCTTTACTTTGTTTATATTTGGTGTCTTTTAATTGTGTGGGTTTTTTCCCCACATTTGTTTCTATATTTATTTGCCTGTATATTAAAGAAAGATAAATGTAGGAATTTAAATACGTGGATGAAATTCTTAGAAAATAAAAAGGGATAAAGCTTGTGAATTAGTATAAAACACTTTGTGATTAATTTACTAAAACATCTACTTTACAAGATGGATAGATAGGTGAACATAAAGAGTTTAATAGTAGTGAATTAGTTTAAAATCATAAACTCGGTAACTGATTTTTCTTTGATTTTAGCAGATCTGCTCCTCCTTCAGTGAAGCTCCTCCCACAACAATCACGCCTTCAGTTAAGCTCCTCCTAGAACAAACAGGTTGGTGTTTATTCTTGATGCTTCATCAATGAGGCTGAAAACAATAAGAATATAAAGCTTCAAGCAGTTCATCAGATGACATAAGATCACATTTCCACTTTATTGAGCAATGGTGTCAATTGAGCTGTGCGCCAACTAGCGGTGATTTCGTGAACGAGTTTCACATGTGACTGATTTGTATTTAGAGTGCAGTGGTAATATAGGCATTTTAAAATAATATTAAAAACGTACATACTAAAAATTAAACAAAGTTAAACCTGTTTTACAGTTTCTTTTCATAAGTTGCTTTTCTTTGGTAACTGGGTTGATGAATGCAGCACTACAATAGATTGAGATAATTTTTCCCATCATGCTCTAAAAAGAGTCCAATTGATGTCACTTCCTGGATGTTGCCAGGAAACACTATTTTGAGTGTATTAACAGTGTTGAGTGAAAAATGTAGGACAGCTAATACATTTTCGTTTTAAAATAAGTTATTAGTCAAATAAATATCCATCTAAGCGACTGCATCAGAACTGTTGCACTATATATAGTGTATTATAGTTAATAATTAATAAATAGTCTATTAATGTTAATATTATTTTAGATAATTGTGGAATCGATTAAACATTGAATAGTTTTTGCGACAGAAACATTGTAATTGTAAATATTTTCCTCGTTCATGGAAAATATTTTTTAAAAATGCATCAAAATGATCATAACTTTGTGTAGCCTCTACTTTCAGGTTCATTTTTATGACCTTTCACTTCACATTTCTCTTATTTATTTTTAAAGATATATTTATAATGTATTTGTTGTTCATTTTCATTTCAGACCTGATGGAGAAAACTCGCTCACAAACTGAAAGTATCTCTTTTCTGAAAAGAAGAGAGAAGAAAAGTTTCACCTGCACTCAGTGTGGAAAGAGTTTGATATGTGAGACGAGTATTAAGAGACACATGATGATCCACACTGGAGAGAAACCATTCACATGTGATCAGTGCGGGAAGAGTTTCAGACAATCAGCACACCTTAATAGACACATGATTATCCACACTGGAGAGAGACTGCACGAATGTGATCAGTGCGGACAGAGTTTTGCATGCAGACAGAGTCTCAAGGTTCACATGAAGATTCACACTGGAGAAAAAACATTCACTTGTGATCAGTGTGAGAAGAGTTTTAAAAAATCATCACACCTTAAGGGCCACATGAATGTCCACACTGGAGAGAAACTGCACAAATGTGTTCAATGCGGCAAAACATTTTCGTGGGCTTCATCCCTAAAGAATCACCTGAAAGTTCATTCAAATGAGAAACCACATTCATGTTCATTATGTGGAAAGAGTTTTTCACTGCTGAAATGGTTAAAAGAGCATCAGAAGATACACACTGGTGTGAGAGATCATGTGTGCTTTGACTGTGGGAAGAGTTTTATTAGATCTCAACATCTGAAACAGCACCGGAGGATCCACACTGGAGAGAAACCTTACAAGTGTTCACAATGCGACAAGAGATTCATTCAGTCATCACAACTGAAATCACATGAGAGGATACACACTGCAGAGAAACCTTACAAGTGTTCACAATGCGACAAGAGATTCATTCAGTCATCACAACTGAAATCACATGAGAGGATACACACTGCAGAGAAACCTTACAAGTGTTCACACTGTGACAAGAGATTCAGTCAGTCATCACAACTGAAATCACATGAGAGGATCCACACTGGAGAGAAACCGTGTCAATCACAATACGCAGATCATCTTCAGATGATCCACACCAAACGTGACACAATAATGCATTGAGCAATAAAATCTCTTCTGTATAAATCAGTCCTAATCAGCCGTAACAAACAGCAGGAAAAAGAAGCATCATCTTTGGTTTTCACTGTGAAAGACTTCATCTTAAAGACCAGCAACAACTCAGCTCAAAGATGTTGATGCTTTTTACTGTTAAATTTTCTAGAAGTTTTTTTTTTTTTTCTTGTTCATGAATCTGAAGAAGAGCCTGTAACCCTTTTAAGAGAAACTGAAATCTAATTATTCCTTTGGTATCTTGTCTTTTGCGGTTTGTACTTTGATCTTAACACCTTTAACCCTGTTATTTATTATTCTCAGGTTAGGTAAAGTAAGTCGAGTCTGGCCTAAATTATAAGCATTCTTATTATATTATAAGTCAGAGGACTCCTTTGTGGTTTGTTCTTATTCAGAGTCTTAAAACACTATAAATCAAAGCCTTGGTTGTCAGTTTTTGTAATGGATTCAATTTCTTTAAATTTGTTGCATTTCTTTTTATAATAAACAAAATGTAAAGGCATGAGTTGTCTCTGTAAAGTTGCTTTGCAACGATTTGTATCGTAAAAAGCACTATACAAATAAACTTGAATTTAATTGAATTGTCTGTACCGTTTCTGTCATTGTGGCAAACAATGAATTTGCATGTTAAATGTTAATCGTATAAATATCAATTTTGTGCATGTCTTTAACATTTTATTTCCAAAGGTTAAATTTGTTTGTCATCGTTTATCTTTTGTGTGCTAGATGGGTTTTGTATGGAAGCCCGTTTCCGCCACAGTTGAGAAAAAATATAGTTCTGTAAGTCATAATAATGAGAAACTTTCTCAAAATTATGACTTAGTATCTCGTTATATTGAGAAACTTTCTCGTAATAATGACTTAGTTTCTCGTAATCTATCATTTAATAACGATTTCAGATAGATTATCTGTATGTAGTCTTTTGTTAATTTGTAGCACTTACCAACAAGTTACTCTGCCAGACAATGATCATGGCTTCAGATATAGAAGAATATATTCCAACAAAAATCACACGCATTTTATGAAGAAATGAAAGCCATTACACATATAAACTTAATTTATAGATGTGTATTTCGATGATTTATTAGTTTTATTAGCTGTCCCTTTCATGCATCACATGCAATGTTCATACAGTAAGCCATCTCATTTCAAAAGCACAAAGCATCGTTGTTCGTTACCACGGCAACCGCTTGGTCTTCAGCGTCCCGCTTCTTGCAGGACAAACGCTTAACGTGAAAAATGCTTAACGTGGCTTGAAGTACAAAGACAGAGTGAACCAAATTCAGTACACAACTTAATGATCATGCATATTGTATATACAGGCATTCAGGTGGACCCAAAATATGAATGCAACACAAAAGAGCAACGCTTATGCATTTTCTATAACGGTTTTCTATAGAAAAACGCTTAACCTGCAACGCTGGATGTTGTGTTCAAAATCTGGGCTCATATGCTTCCCTGTGTGCATGATCAGTAATATTGTATCCCGAATTTGTCATTGTACTTTAAGCCACATTAAGCATTTTTTCAAGTTCACATGTCCTGCAAGAAGCGGTGTGGGATGCTGAAGCATAGATATGCATACATATTTATGCGCTGAAGACCAAGCGGTTGCCGTGGTAACGAACAACTACGCTTTGTGCTAGCGATATGAGATTGGGCTACTGTATTGTGGGCTTATGCATGTGATGCATAATTATTAGTATATAATTAATAGTGACAGCTAATAAAACTAACAAATCATCGAAATGAACATCTATTCATTAAGTTTATATGTGTAATGGCTTTCATTTCTTCATAAAATGCGTGTGATTTTTGTTGGAATATATTCTTCTATATCTGAAGCCATGATCATTGTCTGGCAGAGTAACTTGTTGGTAAGTGCTACAAATTAACAAAAGACTACATACAGATAATCTATCTGAAATCGTTATTAAATGATAGAATATACACTTTAGATTACAGAACAAAGCAATGTTTGCGGTGTTCCTGCATGGCTTTGACCAACAGATGTCGCTAGCGTGCTGTCACTCTTGCGTTGCGCATGCGTCGATTAAGTCATTCGAAATTAAGTAATTTCGAGAAACTAAGTCATTATTTCGAGAAAGTTTCTCATTATTACGAGAAACTAAGTCATTATTACGAGAAACTAAGTCATTATTACGAGAAAGTTTCTCATTATTACGAGAAACTAAGTCATTATTACGAGAAAGTTTCTCAATATAACGAGATACTATGCTATGCTATGCAATATAACGAGAAAACGAGCTAGTGTGTGGTGGGCATTCTGGCGCACTATGGCTGCCGTCGCATCATCCAGGTGGATGCTGCACACTGGTGGTGGATGAGGAGATACCCCCTGACAATGTAAAGCGCTTTGAGTGCCTAGAAAAGCGCTATATAAATGTAATGAATTATTATTATTATTTTTATTATTACTAAGTCATAATTTTGAGAAAGTTTCTCATTATAATGACTTACAGAATTATATTTTTTCTCAACTGTGGCGGAAACGGGCTTCCATAGTTTTGCAATGAGGCCACTTAAAGATGTGAATTTTTTTTTTAATTAATGCGTTTTTTAAAATTCCATTTTAAAAATGTATTTATTGTTTGTGGGTTTATGTTAAGATGCTTAAGAGCAGGGTTTCCTAAAAGGGGATCACAAGGAAATTTCAGGGGTTATTGAGTTCATGAAAAACTATTCATTAATTAAACTATCATTAAATCATATAATTTAAATTAATTAATAATAAAAAAATAAAAAAATATCTAAGGTTGAAAGGTGTAATACAGTAGTGCTTATGAGTGCAGCGTTGCTTTGTTTACAGTGATTACCGAGAAAACAGCTCTATTTCTGCTGTTCCATAAGCGCCACCTGCTGTCAGAAAGAGGATTTACAATTTCATTCAGCCTGTCTGCTGTTTCTGTTCTGATTCCCTCATAAATCTGTAACTGTTGCCGTCTGTGTTTCCTGTTAATTTAAATAATACAACCCCCTTAGTGTGAAACGGACTAGTTTTCACTCATTCGGGATTTGTTTCTCTCAGCGGTCTGCTTTTTTAAATAATTATAGGGCTCACCTGAGAGAAAATATCATGAGATCAGTTCCCAGAATGCTATATTTTACCACAGTTGACTGGAGATAAATAATCTAAGCTGATTCTACTCTTAGTTTGAGTGTAAACGTGCAGGAATTTTTTTTACACAGTTGCATTTGACGTGTGTGAAAAGAGCATGCGATGGGAAATAATGTGGGCGGGGCTTGGTTTGAATTTGATTGGATTGTGAAAAATGGGTTTGTGTTGTTATTGGTTAATATTTTCTCCACACACATTGAGGCAGGATGTCAGTTTTGTCTTTAACTGTGAGTTTATTTCTCCTCCAGACAAGCAGGTATACATGACGGTGGCAGTGGACCTGGTTGTGACCGAGGTTGTAGTACATGTTCGGTTCCTCATGGAGGCGCTAGTGCGGGTTTATCCGGCTAATGAGAGGTTCTGGTATTTCAGCAGGAAGGTCTTCTCTGAAACGTTTTACCTCAAGCTCAAACAGGTACATTAACCCCCTGGGGTCGACGGTCGCGCCGGCATGACCAGCTCACTTTTTTTAAGATCGGTGCGAAAGGCACTAAAAATACTAAGATTTTGGTCACACAAATAAATGTTATATATCATTCAAAACTGTTAAGTGTCTACTTTTATTTGTGTGAACTCACAATAACAACAAAACTTTGTGCTTTTGTAAAATAAAGAAAACAAGCAGGGTGCGTTCTCTGTCTTCACTGTCTCCGCAAATATCCATCTGAAACGTGTCACTAAAATTAACTGAAACTCAGCGAATACTTGATACAGAGACATGACAGATATATCTATAGAAAGCTTGGAGTGTCTACTTTTAAATGAAGTAAGTCTTATCGAAAACAAATATTCTGTGATAAAGTAATCCGTATGAAACCAACACGATGTTCAGTCTTTCCCGTCTAAACTCATTATCTCTAATGTGATCCCGCCCACGCGCGGCTCGCGCCCTTCATATGTAAATATCCAAAAAATTATTTATTATTGATTATTATTATTTTTTTATTAATTTTTTTCCACAAAATAATTAAATACATTTAAAGGTATAGTTCACCCCCGACATGAAAATTCTGTCATTAATTATTCACCCTCATGTCGTTCCAAACCCGTAAGACCTTCGTTCATCTTCGGAACACAAATTAAGATATTTTTGATGAAATCCGAGAGCTTTCTGACCCTCCATAGACAGCAACACAACTGAATGTTCCCAGACCAGAAACGTAGTAAGGAAATCGTCCATGTGACATCAGTGGCTCAACTTCAATTTTGCGAAACTACGAGAATACTTTTTGTGTGCAAAGAAAACAAAAACAACATAATTCAACAATTCTTCTCCCCGAGTTACCATCTTCCACCATTTTGGAGAGTACCACGACGCATACGCGTGCTTTCCCCAGAACGTAAACAACGCTGATTACTTTGATTACTCTCTGGGGAAAGCGCGCAAAATTGCTTCACAAATTTAGCTTCGCAAAAACTGATTACGTTATTTCATTAATTATAATGAAATAAATACGAATAAAAAATATATTATTAAGTGACTGGGTTCAAAGAAAGTAGTTAAAAAATTATACACCTTTTATTTCAATATATCATTCATTTTACCTTTAGTTGTCATGAAAGTAATGTGACGGTGCCAAAATTAAAAAATCATTATGCTTACAAAATCGAATTTTTAATATGACCTGGAAATATTTTTGACAGGCTAGAGATTCACCAATTTCTTGCAAAGCCTGTGAACTTCTTATGAACAGTTATAGGCTGCGATGTAGTGGCTGCACAGATTGGAGAACAAACCTTGAGGAAGGAAGTGAGCTTTTGTGAAGGGTGAATAGGAGCAGTAACTCCTGGAAGCTGTGAAGCGGCAAATGGAGGCTTTGTATAATTCGTAGCTTAATAAGAGGCCCGGCGCTCATTATCATGCTCAACTAATTAGAGCTTGCTGCCTGCATCTCTGCCTGATTGCCTCCGTAGTTATCTTATCGCAGAGAGAAAGAATGCAAAAACTGGACCAAAATGTTTGTTGTAAATCTTAACAGGTAGATGAAAAAAACAAACTAATGTGCGTTCTAATAATCTTAA